AAAACATTCTAGGATAACACCATTAAAAACAGCTCTGGTAAAGTAGTGATACGGTCACTACTATGTATCATCAAGCAGGTACAAGGTATTTTCCATTCACAGAGGTACGATACTGCCCTACATCTATAATACCAGAGACACAATTAAAAAGGCCTTGTTTGAGACTTGATTCTGTTTTCCCAGCAGAGGCCCCAAGGGTGGGACGGCAGCTCTGGGAAGACGCACCTTCTCAGACAGGCTTTCCTCTCATTAGTGGCAGTTCGAGGTACGGACTGCCCTTCATGAATATCACCTAAAAACCGTTTCAGAAAGACCAAAACGAACAAAAACAATAATCCCCCCCACGCACACCTCACTGGATTCATAAAGATGACCAAGTGGAGGCAGGCGAGACTCTCCCCAACCAGTGTTCACCAAGCCCGCGGTGTGAGCGGTCAGCGCTCCACAGAAGCGAAGCCCAGCAACACTTCACAGCCTGGGCCACGACCAAAGCACGGCGTCATTTCAAAAAGCAGCAGCAGCCGGGCACTGCCCACCGGGCATGGTCAGGGTGCTGACGCCACTATTTCACCACCATCGCGCGCTCATCCAGGAAGAAGGGAGGCAGATCAGTTACTATACTTTGTGTTCAACTCAATTACCATGTTATAAAAGCAGCAGGCTGCCCGGGGAAGACGTGGGCCCCTCTGTGCAGCCCTAGTTCTTCAGCTCCTCACCACTGCGCCCACCAGTGCCACCACCACATCCACAGGCCGGAAGGGATTGCCACTGCTGTGTTACCAGCTGGGACCAGGCGCTGTTCGGGCTGGGCTACTCCTCTGCAGCGTTACTTTCTTGATTTCTGGTGTCTTCCTCTAACCATAAGGACTGAGTTCTAAATGGCACACACTCCCAGAGCGTGTGCACGTGTTTGTATGTAAAGACAGACTGAGATGCATGGCCATCAACAGGGGGTGTGTGGTGTAGTGGGTGTGAGCTGGCAAAGCCTCGTTGTATGGGTGTTGAGTTTATATTCTTTATGTGGTGTAAGTTGGTGGTCTAGTTTCATTTTTTTGCGTGTATCTGTCCAGCTTTCCCAACACCATGTATTGAAGAGACTGTCTTGACTCCATTGTATGCTCTTGCCTCCTCTGTCAAATATTAATTGAGCGTAATGGCTTGGGTAGATTTCTGGGGTCTCTGTTCTGTTCCATTGATCTATATGCCTGTTCTTGTCCCAGTACCAGGCTGTTTTGATTACAGTGGTTTTGTAGTATAAGTTGAAATCTGGTATTGTGATTCCTCTACCTTTGTTTTTCTTCCTCAAAATTGCTGCAGCTATTCAGGGTCTTTTTTGATCCCACATACACTTTCGGAGTATTTGTTCTAGATCTGTGAAATCCGCCATTGGTATTTTAATTGGGATTGCATTGATAGTATAGATTGCCTTGGGTAGTATGGACATTTTAATGATGTTGATTCTACCAATCCATGAACATGGTATAGTCTTCCACTTGTTTATATCTTCTCTTTTTTTCTTTTTCTTTTTCTTTTTTTAATATATTTTATTGATCTTCTACAGAGAGGAAGGGAGAGAGATAGAGAGTTAGAAACATCGATGAGAGAGAAACATCGATCAGCTGCCTCCTGCACATCCCCCACTGGGGAAGTGCCTGCAACCCAGGTACATGCCCTTGACCGGAATCGAACCTGGGACCCTTCAGTCCGCAGGCCGAAGCTCTATCCTCTGAGCCAAACCGGCTTCGGCTATCTTCTCTTTTTTTCAATGTCCTGTAGTTCTCCGAATACAGGTCTTTTGCCTCCTTGGTTAAGTTTATTCCTAAGTATCTTAATTTTTGTTGTTGTTGTTGCAGTGGTAAATGGGATTGTTTGTTTAGTTTCTGAGTATTCATTATTGGTGTATAAAAAAGCCACCGATTTTTGGGTGTTGATTTTGTATCCTGCTACATTGCCAAATTCCTTTATTAAATCTAGTAGTTTTTTGGCGGCATCTTTAGGGTTTTCTATGTACAACATCATGTCATCTGTGAATAGTAAGAGTTTTACTTCCTCCTTTCCAATTTGGATGCCTTTTATTTCTTCTTGTCTGATCGCTGTGGCTAGCACTTCCAGCACTATGTTGAACAGGAGTGGTGAAAGCGGACATCCCTGCCTTGTTCCTGCTCTTAGGGGAAATGATTTTAGTTTTTCCCATTGAGTATGATGTTGGCTGTAGGTTTGTCACATATGGCCTTTATCATGTTGAGATATGCTCCCTCTATTCCCACTTTGCTGAGAGTTTTTATCAGAAATGGGTGTTGGGCTCTGACCGGTTTGGCTCAGTGGATAGAGCGTCGGCCTGCGGACTGAAGGGTCCCAGGTTCAATTCCAGTCAAGGGCATGTACCTTGATTGTGGGCACATCCCCAGTAGGGGGTGTGCAGGAGGCAGCTGATCAATGTTTCTAACTCTCTATCCCTCTCCCTTCCTCTCTGTAAAAATTCAATAAAATATATTTTTTAAAAATGGGTGTTGGATTTTGTCAAATGCTTTTTCTGTGTCTCTTATTATGATCATGTGATTTTTTGTCTTTCAGTTTGGTTATGATTATTGATTTGCAAATATTGTACCAGCCTTGCATCCCTGGAATAATCCCACTTGGTCATGGTGTCTGATCTTTTTAATATATTGCTGGATGTGATTTGCTAATACTTGGCTGAGGATTTTAGCATCTATGTTCATCAGGGATATTGGCCTGTAATTCTCTCTTTTCTTAGTGTCTTGATCTGGTTTTGGAATTAGGGTAATGCTGGCCTCATAAAATGAGCTCGGAAGTGTTCCTTCCTCTTGGATTTTCTGAAATAGTTTGAGGAGAACGGGCGCTAGTTCTTCTGGGAATGTTTTGTAAAACTCCCGGCTTTGCTGGGAGTATTTTGATTACTGCTAGTCCCTCTGGTCTGCCCCCACCCCAAGGGAGCTGATCCCCAAACTCTTAACACCGCTTTCCAGATGAGTGGTCCGTTTCCCCCCCACAGTGGTCCAGTCCAGGTCCTCAACTATTTACTCCTTGCTGGCTGCCCCCCACAGTGGTCCTGCCCTCACTACCGCCCCCCCCCCCCCGCAACCCCCCCCACACACAGTGGTCCTTCCCCTCGGCCCCTCCCCCACACACACACAGTGGTCCAGCTCTGACCTGCCCCTCCCCCACAGTGGTCCTTCCCCTCGGCCCCTCCCCTCCCCCCACACACAGTGGTCCAGCCCCGCCTGCCCCGCCCCCACAGTGGTCCTTCCCCTCGGCCCCTCCCCTCCCCCCACACACAGTGGTCCAGCCCCGCCTGCCCCGCCCCCACAGTGGTCCTTCCCCTCGGCCCCCCACCACACACACACAGTGGTCCAGCCCAGTCTGCCCCGCCCCCACAGTGGTCCTTCCCCTCGGCCCCTCCCCCGACACACACACAGGGGTCCAGCCCCGCCTGCCCCGCCCCCACAGTGGTCCTTTCCCTCGGCCCCTCCCCTCCCCCCACACACAGTGGTCCAGCCCCGCCTGCCCCGCCCCCACAGTGGTCCTTCCCCTCGGCCCCTCCCCCCCACACACACAGTGGTCCAGCCCCGCCTGCCCCTCCCCCCCACACACACACACAGTGGTCCAGCCCAGTCTGCCCCGCCCCCACAGTGGTCCTTCCCCTCGGCCCCTCCCCCCCCCACACACACAGTGGTCCAGCCCAGTCTGCCCCGCCCCCACAGTGGTCCTTCCCCTCGGCCCCCCCCCCCCCCCCACACACAGTGGTCCAGCCCAGTCTGCCCCGCCCCCACAGTGGTCCTTCCCCTCGGCCCCTCCCCCCTACACACAGTGGTCCAGCCCAGTCTGCCCTGCCCCCACAGTGGTCCTTCCCCTCGGCCCCTCCCCCCTACACACAGTGGTCCAGCCCATTCTGCCCCGCCCCCACAGTGGTCCCTCCACTAGGCCCCTGCCCCCAGGCCCCTGCCCCCCCCAACAGTGGTCCAGCCCATTCTGCCCCGCCCCCACAGTGGTCCTTCCCCTCGGCCCCTCCCCCCCACACACACAGTGGTCCAGCCCCGCCTGCCCCTCCCCCCCCCACACACACACAGTGGTCCAGCCCAGTCTGCCCCGCCCCCACAGTGGTCCTTCCCCTCGGCCCCTCCCCCCTACACACAGTGGTCCAGCCCATTCTGCCCCGCCCCCACAGTGGTCCCTCCACTAGGCCCCTGCCCCCAGGCCCCTGCCCCCCCCCAACAGTGGTCCAGCCCATTCTGCCCCGCCCCCACAGTGGTCCCGCCCCTCCGCCCCTCCCCCCACACACAGTGGTCCAGCCCAGCCTGCCCCGCCCCCACAGTGGTCCTTCCCCTCGGCCCCTCCCCCCTACACACAGTGGTCCAGCCCAGCCTGCCCCGCCCCCACAGTGGTCCTTCCCCTCGGCCCCTCCCCCCTACACACAGTGGTCCAGCCCATTCTGCCCCGCCCCCACAGTGGTCCCTCCACTAGGCCCCTGCCCCCAGGCCCCTGCCCCCCCCCAACAGTGGTCCAGCCCATTCTGCCCCGCCCCCACAGTGGTCCCGCCCCTCCGCCCCTCCCCCCACACACAGTGGTCCAGCCCAGCCTGCCCCGCCCCCACAGTGGTCCTTCCCCTCGGCCCCTCCCCCCTACACACAGTGGTCCAGCCCATTCTGCCCCGCCCCCACAGTGGTCCCTCCACTAGGCCCCTGCCCCCAGGCCCCTGCCCCCCCCCAACAGTGGTCCAGCCCATTCTGCCCCGCCCCCACAGTGGTCCCGCCCCTCCGCCCCTCCCCCCACACACACAGTGGTCCAGCCCCGCCTGCCCCGCCCCACAGTGACCCCGCCCCTCCCACACAGTGACCCCGCCCCCACAGTGGTCACGCCCCCGCCCCTCCCCCCACGCACACGTGGTTCCACTGGGTCCGCCCCCGCGGCGCCCCGCCCCGGCCCAGGGCCCTCTGGTCCCCGCTGGTGGCGGTTGAGGTGGTTGCGGACGGGAAGCTGCGATGGCGAAGGCGGCGGCCGGCAGGAAGCAGGAGCGGGACCCGGCGCGCTTCGTCTACGTGCCCCGCTTCGGCTCGCACCAGTGCGGCGGCGTCCTGCGGCTGGGCGGGCGCCGGGCCGGGGAGCGGGGGGCGGCGGGGGCCCGCGGCGAAGGGCAGCTGCCCCCCGGCTCCGAGCCCGGGGCCCCCGCGGCCTCCTCGGCGGCGCGGGCGTCGAGCGCGCGGAGCAGCGGGCGGGCGGCGGCGCGTGCAGGTGGCCGAAGGGGACGGGGTGGGGACGGCGTGGGAGGGGCGGGGCCCGCGGGAGGCGCCTTCCCTCCTCCTGGCGGCCGTCTGTCCGTCTGTCCCGCGGTGTCGGAGTGGCGGCTGTCAGTCCTCCCGCCTCTACGCCCCCGGCTGGCGGGCCACTCGGACCCCGCCCGGCCCCGTCAGCGTCCGGTCCGCTCCTGGGTGCCCGGGACCGGCGCCCAGATGCCCGTGAAAGGCATCGCCACCCGCCGGCCGTCTGCGTCGGAGCGGCCATTGGCGGAGCCCCGGGCCCGGAACCAGGGCCGCCTGGCGCTGAGCGTCCCCTTGGGGGGCAGGGCCTCGTCCAGACGGTGTCGCTTCCTCCGCTGCCCCCGCTCCGGCCCCCCGCGGGTCCTCCGGGGTGTCTGTGTTAAACCCCGTAGGGTAGCCGGGTCGCGTCCAGCTCCGCCCGGGTGCGGGCCCTTCTCGGCTCCTGCGAGAGGCTCCCTCTTCCATAGCGGCCCCTTCATGCCTGTCCTTTGTGCTTATGAGGCCTCTGACCTTTAAAAAGCCACCCGTGTTCAGCATGAGCTACACACATGGTGAGGAGGTTGGCCCAGTCCCGCGGCCTGGTCAGCGGCAGAAGCCCTGCTGGCGGGGCGGCGCCCTCCGTCCGCTCTGCTGAGAGATCGCCGGCCACGCAGCCCCCACCGAGCCGCTCCCCTGTCCACCCGGAGCCTTATCCCCCCCGGAGGAACCCTGCCCCGTCAGCACTCACTGCTTCTCGCGCCCCCTCACCCCACCCCTGAGCCCAAGCAAGCACCAGACTCCTTTCTGCGCCACAGCTTTGCCTGCTCTGGACACCTCTGCTAATAAAAGGGCAATATGCTAATCAGACCGGGAGACCTTCCGGAAGTCCTTCTGGACGTCCTTCCGGACAAAGCCATGGTGGCAGGGCCGAGGCAGAGGCGGTTAGGGGTGATCAGGCCAGGAGGGGAGGGCAGTTGGGGGTGAGCAGGTCCATGAGGGGGGCAGTTGTGAGCGATGGGGGAGGGCGGGGGGAGGCAGTTAGGGGGCGAGCAGGCAGAGTGGTTAGGGGCCATCGGGCAGGCAGGCAGGTGAGCAGTTAGGAGCCACGGTCCCAGATTGCGAGAGGGATGTCCGACTGCCGGTTTAGGCCGGACCCCACAGGCCGGCTATCCCCCAAGGGGTCCCAGATTGGAGAGGGTGCAGGCCAAGCTGAGGGACACCCCCCTTGTGCGCGAATTAGACCGGACAGCCAAACGACCTTCTGGACGTCCTTCCTGATGACCTTCCGGACGAAGCCAGGGTTGGGAGGGCTGAGCCCCTTGCTGAACAAATTCCGTGCATCAGGCCTCTGGTTTCATATAAGTCGAATGATACAATATGTCAGTTTTCCTGATTGGCCTCTTTCACTTAGCCTAGTGATTTCTGTATGTTAATTTCAGATCCTCGTACTTCACTGAATACTTTTATTATTAGAGTTAGTGTTATTGTTGATATGCATTTTCCAGGCATACTATTATTTATAAACAGAATTTTTTTTTACCCATTGTTAGGCCTGCAATAGATTTGTTTTGCATAGGCTAATACCTCGAGTATAGGTTGATGAATTGTGGTGGAGATTGTGGGCATTCTTGCCTTATTCCTGGTTTTAGGGAAAATGCTTCTAGTGTTTGCCATTGAATAAGGTATTGGCTTTATGACTACAGCATCTACATTTAAAAATATTAAAAAGCATTCCTCAATTTTTATTTTCTTCAGTGTTTTCATCATGGCAAAGGGGGTGTTGAATTTTGTCAGAGGCTTTCGCAGATCTATGGAGATAAACATCTTCCCCTTAGATTTATTAATATGGCATATAAATAGATTTCCTAATATTGGACCAACCTTGCATTCCTGAAATGAATCCTACTTGGTTATGATTCATTATTTCATACAGTAGTGTTGGGCTCTGCTAATAATTTGATTAGCATTTTTGCATTGGTGTTTGTGAGAGACAGTGAGCTGTAGTTTTTCTTTGCTTTTGTAATCTGGTTTAGGTATCACAGTTATACTGACGGTGTAAAATGAATTAGGACCTTGTGTTCCTTTCCAATGCTGTGGCATAACTTACAGAACATTAGGACTATCTGGTGTTTGAAGGTCTGGTGGGTCAAGGTCTAGTACTTTTTGTGGGATAATTCTGTAATAACTTTCTCTGTATCTCCTGTGGAAACTGAATGAGTGGCAGGAAGCCAGGTAGAGAGTGGTGATAGGGTAGGAATGAGGTGAGGAGGGGATGGGGGTTCCAGACAACAGGAGAACACGTATAAAGGCTTCCAGGGAACCGTGCCATCGCTTTATGAGGATGTCTTTGGACTCACAGCTCTTTGGTTTTCTTCTAACAGTTAATTTGGGGAGACAGTGTGAGTAGAGGCAGGAAGCTTATTCACTCTGACGAACTCTTATTAGTGTCCCCGATGTGTCTGGTGATTGGACAGGAAGGTGAACAAGCCCACTGATTGTCCTCTGGAAGGTCACCGCCTAGGGGGGAGCCACTGCAGAAACACACGGTGTAACGTGTGCTCAGTGCTCCGTATGAGGAGTCCCAGGCGTCCGTGCCGTGTGCGGGAAGACTTCACAGAGGAGGTGACGTGCGAGCTGAGTCTTGAGGAGCAGGTAGACATTTGCCTGGTGCGCGTGCACGTGTGTGTGTACAATTGTGTGCAAAGGCCGGGAGGAGTAAGAAGACCTGTTTGAGGAACCGCGGGTGGTTTGTGTAGTTGGAAGCACGGTGCCCCTGAAACTGAATGGAGAAGGAAAGGGCTGCTGGAAGCGCGCGGGCAGGATGGGTCAGGCATCTGTTACTGTCGCTGACCTTCTAGGGGCTCACCTTCAAGTCGGAAAAGGAAGGACGTTCCCTAGGCACTTCCAACGTTAGCTCTAGTTTTCTTTCTTTCTTGTTTCCCCACCATTATATGAACTAATTGATAAGTTGGTATTACCTAGTGATCAGCAATATACCAACAATTGTAAAGATCCCCAGAGAGCTCAAGACCCTCATCGTTGTCTCTGTTCTCAGGATAGCGCCTCCTTTAAAATACGCAATGACCTTGATGCTTCACTTTGTTTTTTAACGATCAGGTTTAGCCCAGAAGATGTTAGCTAGGAAGTTTGAGTTTCCCGTACATTTCAGTGGAGCTTCCAAAGTGATGAAGAAAAAGGAAAAGGTATGTTATAGAGCCGGGGGTGAGCCGCTGAGTTTAGATTAAGCTCTCTGAACACAAGTGTGTGAATATGCTCAAGACGGTGCCAATAGTGCCGCCTTTTGAAAAGTCTAATTTACTGAAATGAAAAAGTGGAAGTAATTTATCAGAAATGGAATTTGGTTTGGAAATACTTATTAACAATAAAGACTCGTCCTTGTGGTGTTTGAAGGTATAAAACATTTTAATCAAAATGTAACCCACCGGGAGATTTTTCAGAGCATTAAAATATATGTCCTATAGACTGTAACAAACCCTGATGGGTAACATAGGAGAAAATCGTGGATTTCACAGAAAAGAACGCATCTATTGGGTTATGTTGCTTTTTTAAAGACAAGGAACGTACATTAAGCATCTGGCAGGAAAGCTGACGAGGACGAACCGTTAGTGCTGAATCTTTTCCCCTCTGGCCCAAAGGTCACGGTAACCTGAATGTTTAAACATGTTCAAGATCATTTGCTCATCTTTCATTTCCATCATATATTTTGTACTTCAGTTTAAAGAAATGGTTAGTTAATAACGGCACATGAAATATTATTTTCTGAGCTTAGTGTGTGAGTTGTAGTTTACATATAGTATGAAATAGCATTCAAGGTGGCTAACCCTTGCAGCAAATGTATTTTGAATTTCCCACTAGAAATATTTTTTCCAAGAACCAGTTCCTCTTGGTGAGGAGAAAAGAGCGATAGCCTGTAGTATGACTAATGTGCACCAGACACGGCACGCGCTTACAAATATTTTTCATTGATTCTAATAATCGGGTGTTTGAGGCTTTTCCTGGATGAGATTAAAACACTTGCCCAGTGCCAAGCAACAGCGAGGGCAAAGCCAGCGTCTGAGCCGAGGTCTGTGTTCTTGCGTCCGTGGTCCTCACTCTGCATTCGAGGACATTCATGCTCTAGTCATCTGGCTTCGGTGTGTCTTAGTAGAAGTGTTTCTTATCTAAAATAAAACACATTAAAATGAAATTACTGCCCACTGGCTTAGACGTAGGAATAGAAATTCATTATTTTTATTATCTTTTGAAACAAAACCGAATGTGTTGGAACCATTAGGTAGAGCTTCGTAGACGTGGCCTTGGAGAGGAAGCTCCATCCAGGACAGGTGCCTTAATACAGAGAGGGAATGCTAGGAAGCTGGGCAGAGAAGTCAGAACTCAGTGATCACGGGAGACGGTTACATTTAAGTTTTAGGTCTCTACGTGCTAATATTGCTTTATAATTATAATATCAATTGCCATGCAGCACAGTTGAGTCACTCCCAGTGGGCTCCATCAAAATGTAGGTTCTTAGTACAGTCACTCGATAACAACATCTATTTTGACAGTAAATCTGCAGAATTTAATTTTGCCTTTCTGCTCAGTGTTCCTAACCTGTACTTATCTTTTTTTAAGGTTTCAGTGTGGAAAAAAGTACACAAAGTCATTTCTAGAATGCTCGAAGAAAATGAAAACTATAGACTCAGGCTGAAACGCCAACGACTAGCTGGTGAAAGTAAGTTATAATAGTTATTGTATTAAAGGACTGGCTTCTATACAGTTTAGTTTCCCTGGATCACATGAGAACAGTACTTTTCCTAATTGTCATACAAGGTCCAGAGCTCTGGAAACGAGGCTAACCACTGTTCGTCGTCATTAAAAGTACAGCAAACAGCACAGCAGTGAGGTAGAGTAGAGGCCGGAGGAGGCAGGAGTGGAGGGCTGCAGAGGTGAATGCTGACGGAATTTAGTGAACAAGGGAGCACGCTTACCTCTTAAATCTGAATTTCAATGCCAACCTTTTAATACAGATTACAAAGCTGATCCCTATCAGCAATGTGAATTATGTGTCACTTTACATAGTCACACGGGTGCTGCCGTCTAACGTAATGCATTTTGCAAAACCTGCCCTTGAGCTGCGGCCTTGATGTCACTCCATTCCTGGGAAGCATCCTGTAGATTAGACCAGGTGCTAAAGCTGCATCAATGTGGAGTTCCCCGCGCGGCCAGAGCAACACTACATGTGACCTAGTGCCTTCACTAAAGTAATTGCATTCGCACGCAATTAAGTTGGATAGAAATCTCTGCGTATGTAACTAATGACGCCACACAGATTGATAATCATAAGTTATTTTCTTCCCTTCACATGCATGTCCTATCACACGTGTTAACATGCTGGATGCTTCTGTAGGTTCTTAGTACAGTCACTTGATGACAGTGTCTATTTTGACAGTAAATCTACAGTTTAATTTTCTGAAGAATATTTTCAAACAATAATAATTAGAAACGGAACGCCGTTTTGTAAACAATGTGACACTAGAAACTCATTACTGTTTGTGTAATAGTGCATCAATAATGGCAGAAATTGTTTGCAATTATGGCATATACGCCAGTGTTCAGATTAGTGATGCTCTACTTTACTTTTCTTACCCAATTAAGAAAGAGAAAGAAAGGAGCAGGAGTGATTAGGAGAAAAAAGTAGCCAGTGGCGCCTTAGGGGAAAGGGTGTTTGAATAAGCGGCGCCATGTGCAAAAACCCGGCCCTTGTTCTGATGTTAGTCCAGACCCAGTAACGTGAGTACACGTGCTGGGTCAGACCTAGTCTTGCTTTGGCCGTAGCCTTGAACTTGCGGGTTCTCTGGTGCCTCAGCAGAGGCTTTCTATTAACCACCAAACACTCCTGTGAGGATCGTGTAACAACTAAAAATAATCCGCTGTGTTTTTCAGAAACAGCCTCTTATAAACAAAAGATATCCTTGTAATTCGTTATGACAATTTTAAACAGATTACAAAAACTAATAATCCCGCCTTTAAGGTGTATTATAACTTATTCCCTAATATGCATTTATTAATGGGAAAACCTTTCCTAGAGGCCCACTTGAATTTCCTTATATTTTATATTGTTTCTAGACTGAGATTACACAAGATGAATCTTCTCATCGTCTTCTGGTAAGAATCTATTTTGGTAACAATTATAAAGTATAGACTTTAACCCTTTGAGTGCCAACCAATATCATAGGAACTATGCTAAAATTGCCAAGGCATTTTTGCTGATTTTACAGCAGTTTAGGAAAAAAATTATGAATCGCAAGTAAATGAAGTTACATATTCAAAAACTTAAGGAAACCTTTACTACATTTGTTTTCATCTTTGGCATATATTGTTTGCTGATTGTATTATAAAATACTAGTAGAAAAAAATTTGAACAAAACATATAATGTTAAAATAGAGGGACACCTTCTCCAATATCTTCCACAAAATCGTCGTCTTTACAGCAAGAATTGACATATTTAGCAATATCATCACTAATAAAAGCAGACTTAGAACTGGACACCATTTCGAAGCTTTAGAGCTACAAAGTCTGAGTAAACTTTATAAAATCGTAGTACCTGTAAAAATTAGGCAGATAAATGCCAGTGGTCGATTTTAGAACTACAAACATTCGGCATCGTAAGTAATCTGCCCTTCGGTGCCATCTGTCAATACAGAGTGAACTGCTAGCATCTAACAGTGACACTGCAGGAGGAGCGCGATGGCGCCCCCGGCACTTTTGGTGAAAGACAGGAGGAGTGGGATCGCGCTCCCCGGCACTCTAGGGGTTAAAATTTCCCCTTTATAGCCTCCTTTCTCCAACCCTGAGTGTATGCCCATTGCTAACTCCAGCCAGTTTCCTTCCTGAAACCAGGGTTTGGCACACAGTAGGCACTCATTAAATATTTGTTGACATTTAATGAACTCTCTGGGCCCCATGTCTGCAGTGCTATTGAAACTGCTCTCTCCATGGTCCATCGTTTTCCTTTTTGTTCCTGTATCTGCTCAGTTCTCTTCTCTCTCTGTGCCCCCCGTTGCTGCTTCCCGCGGTGACAGGTCCTCTTCCTGTCCAGCAGGAGGGCACCGTGGCTTCCAATCTTCGGGCGCTGAGAGGCGGGCTTCCTCGTTTCTCTTACAATGGCTTCCCAAAGTGGCAGTCACACAGCGTTCTCACGAAATAGCACAAGAAGTAAGGTCTGTAAAGTAATTCCTACTTTTGTTTCTTCCTTTAGTTATAATTTAATTACGACGAGACTAGGATTTGTGACAGCCTGTTCTTCTGTGACTGTTCAGCGAATCTGCCTGTTTCCCGTGGAAGGACACGGTACCCGGGCAGATGGCCCAGGCCTTGCCCGCCACGCAGTGTCCAAAGCCCCCGGCAGGGCGGGGCCTGCACCGTGGGAATGTGCTGGGTAACTTTGAGGCTGCTGAATTCTTGGGGAAAGCTTCCAGATTTAGCTTATGAAGCTCAAATCCTTGTAAAATGAGACATTTACTTGTTTATGCTGTAATTTGTGCTGCACAAAGTTTTGTGGTGAATGTGAATGTTCATTTCAATGTCGGCTTTTTTTATGTAACTTACACTACTTGACATAGTCAGGTAACCTGTTTTAATGATTGAATGTTTATTAGATTTAAAACTAAGTGTCAAGCTGGATCCAGACTCAGTGCCTCGCTGTTCCAGAGCCCTGGGTAGTGGAGACTCCTAGGGAAAGAAATGTTCTAGATGGGCGCTCTACATCTTTTCATTGTTATCTAAACATTTCTGGTGAAAATGTATTAAACCTCTGTTTTTTTAATAGAACATAATAACAACTTTTCTCTGCTGACAATATCTAGAAAGTACTCACATCTGATCACAGTGCCCAACCCCTTCCGCCCGCCTCCCTGCCTCTCCCACTCAAGGTAACCATCACCGCATTTGTGCACATGATTACATTGCAGTGATCTATATGTCTTCCTGAAAGTGCGTCTAGGTGTCTGATTTTCTATGCGGCATTATGTCGCATATACTCTTTTCGGACTTTTCCTGTTACTTTGTAACATTCATGCATATTGCTGACTGCCATTGGGGTTCGTTTGTTTTGCTCTGCACTTTCTAAAAGTCAAGTAACGTGTGAGAGAATCGCCACGTTCCTGGGAATAATGCACTCTGAGCCCCGATCCTCTCACTGTTCCTCAGGATAAACTTACTAACCACTTGCTTGATCTGTTTAATTTTAAAGATGATCCTAAATGATCCCTGTGCTGTTAGAACTCCGGTGTGTGCCTAGAAACATTTATATTCCCAGAGAAGTTACAGCAGGAAATGAGTTCACCTGTGGATGCTAAGGGAAGGGCTGTCTCTCGGCTCCGTGGAGCACCCTCACTCCCCTGTTCTGTCCTTTCTGAGGTTCTGAGTGCGAGGGACACTCTCATGTGTCCGGAAGTGTCCCAACCTGATCTCAAGCGGCTCCATGTAACGGTCACTTGTTAAGTTGGGCTTCCTGTGACTGCTGTGCCCTCCTAGGACTCTCTGCCTGGGCTTGATGGCGTTTAGAGAAACCTGTTAAACAGGCGACTGGATGAGCCCCGTGTGCGGGCGTGTCGTTTTAGTATTTGTGTTAGGTGATTGAGCACAGGCCAGAAGCCAGACCTTTTACTTTATTTTTTAAAATCACCATGAAATGGAACCTCCTGGACATCAAGAGACAGAGACCGACTGAAAGCTGAACTTATCCCAGCAAAGGTAATGCCAAGTGCAGGAGCCACACACGTGCACTGCCCACTCCTTCTTGCAGGCGGGAGCTTCAGTTACACGCCATCTGGGGCAGAGGCGGGAGTGGGCCAGGCCGCATGAGGCTCCTGCCTTTTGTGAGCCGCGTTCAGGGGCTTCTTTCGTTCACTCATTTATTGGTGTAATACTTACTGAGGACATATTATGTCCTAGGTTCTGTTCTAGGCACTGGGGGAGCAGAAGGGAAAAAACATATTAAATGCCTGGCTTCAGGGGAAGACATAATAAACACCTAAAGTATTCAGTATGTTTAAAGAGCAGGTTCTGTGGAGAAAAATAAAGGGTGTGTTGAGGGCTGCAATGGAGGGAAGGCTCCACGCAGAAGGTGACATGGAGATGAAACTGGAAGGAAGGAAGCCAGGCGTGCAGAGGCAGGACCCTGAGGCTGGAGGAGCGGGAAGAAGAGGTCCCGGGGCGGGGCGGGGGGGGGGTGAGAGGGTAACAGACGCCAGACTGTGTGGCACTGTGTTGAGCTCTCCTTTTCCTGAGTGATGAGGAGCTGTCGGAGCGCTGAGAGCAGAGTAGTGATGTGAGCCGCCGACCTTTAACAGCTACTCCGGCAGCTGTTTTGAGAAGGGACTGGTCTTAGCTTGAGAGTCAGTGAGGGATGGTCTTTCTCCCTGTCTTCTCATCTATAATAATAAAGGCATAAGATGCTAATTAGAACGGACATCCTTCTGGATGGCCCACAAGGGCTGAGCCCTTTGCATGAATTTCGTGCATCAGGCCTCTAGCATAAGCATAAAAAATCAAGCAGGTGGAACTGCTCTGCAGAGAGGGACTTTTCTGGGAAATTTGCAAATTCTAAAGCTCTCTTTCCTTGGCAAACACATATAGTCCATCTCCTGGGAGGGGACACTCACACTCTTGTTGCACTTTAAGAACTACAGGTATATGAAACAATACTAAAAATCTCTAATAACCGGGGAAATGCACAAAACCACAGTGACATCTCACCTCACACCTGTTAGAATGGCTGCTATCAAAAGACAAAAGGTAAGGTTTGGTGAGGATGTGGGGAAATGGAACCACGTGCACTGTTGGTAGGAATGTACATTGGTACTGCCACTGTGGGAAACAGTACAGGGGTTCCCCAAAACTTAAAAATAGAACTGCCATACAATCCAGCTATTCCAGTTCTGGGTGGGGATGAAGAGGAAATTAAAACAGTGTCTTGAGGAAGTAACTGAGCTCCCAAGTTGACTGCAGCATTATTCACAATAGTCAAGATATGGAATCAACCCAAGTGTTCGTCAGTGGGTGAATGGAGCCCAGCTGGCGAGGCTCAGTGGTTGAACATTGACCTATGAACCAAAAGGTCATGATTCAATTCCCGGGTCAGGGCACATGCCCAGGTTGCGGGCTCCATCCCCAGAGTGGGACTTGCAGGAGGCAGCCGATCAGTGATTCTCGTCATTGATGTTTCTATCTCTCCCTCTCCCTCTCCCTCTCCTTTTCTGAAATCAATAAAAAAATATATTTTTAAAAATCTGAAAGTTTAAAAAAAGGATGAATTGATAAAGAAGATGTGATACATACATACATGCGCACACACACCCACACACACACAATGGAATATTAGCCTTTTAAAAAGAAGGAGATTCTGTCATTTGTGTCAACATGGATGAGCCTGGAGAACATCATGTTAAGTGAAACAAGCCAGGCACAGAAAGGCATGCTGCATAGTTTCACTTATAGGTGGAATCCAGAAATGCCGAGCTCATAGAGTAGTGGGGGCTGCCAGGGGCTGGGCGGTGGGGGCAGTGGGAGCCATTGGTCGAGGGACAGTCACGCAGGATGAGTGGTTCTGGAGCCCCACGGCACATGGTGACTGTAGTGAATACTGCTGTGTTGTCTATTCTAGTCTCCCTCATGCTTTCTGTGGTTTCAGTTACCAAGAGTCAACTGTGGTCCGAAAACATTAAATTGAAAATTGCAGAAATACACGGTTCATAAGTTTTCAATTGCATGCCATTCTGAGTATGTGTGATGAAGTCATCCGCCTTGGTCATCAGACCAACTGTCGCAGTGCACCAGTGCTCATGCTCAAGTCACCCTTATTTTACTTACTGATGGCCTCGAAGTGCAAGAGTGGCGATCCTAGCATTCACACATGTCAAAGAGAAGCTGTAAAGAGCTTCCTTTAAGTGAAAGGGCATCTATGTATAGGAACAAGCAGTATATGTAGGCTTTAGTACTAGCCAGTTTCGGGCATCCACTGGTCTGGGAAGCTATCTGTGCTTGATATGCTAGATCTTAAATGTCATACACACACGCACACACACACACACACGGTAACTGTGAAGTGATGAATATGTAAATTAGATTAACTGTGGGATCACTTCACAATGTATACATATATCAAACCATTACATTTTACATCTTAAATATGCACAATGCTTATTTGTTAATTATACTCCAATGAAACTGGGAGAAAAAGTAATAATAGATGTTTATAGTGTGCTCATCCTCTCTGGTGGATCAGAGGGTTTCAGGGCCATACTGGGAATCTTCCACAAGGTCTCCCATGATGCCCAGCGACCTTGCCTTCAACTCTGACTTCACCACGTGGCTTACTAGCCTCTTACAAGCCCACTGCTTTTAAAAAAAGGTAGTTTTTGCCTAGCCCATGGCTCAGTGGTTAAACATCAACCTGTGAACCAGGAGGTCACGATTTGATTCCTGGTCAGGGCATATGCCCGAGTTGTGGGCTCGATCGCCAGTGTGGGGCATGCAGGAGGCAGCCAATCAATGATTCTCTCTCATCATTGATGTTTCAATCTCTCCCTCTCCCTCTCTGAAATCAATAAAATAATATATTTTTTAAAGTTTGTTGTTTAGAACTCAAAATTTTTTTTCTCTAGCAGAAAATTATTCATGTTTTTTTCCATGAACTTAAAAATAATTAACATGTTTTGGGGAGACAAAAAAAAGTATTAAGAAAAGATGAAAATCACCCATAAAAACATCTAGGAAAAAAACCCTATAAACATTTTAGTGTCTTTAAATCTTTATATTTTCGCATAGTTGAGATGTTTATACAATTTTATTCTTTTTACTCAACATTATAAACATTTGCCATATTGCAACATTCCATGACATAACTTTTAATGACTGAATAGTATTCATCAAAATGAATGAACCAAAATGTACTCATCCACCCACTGGTTAACATGTAGGTTGCAAGAACTCAATCCCGATTCTTACCCAGCCACCATTACACAAATAATCATGCAGTTTAAAAGAATGATCCGTATTTCAACAGAAGAACAGTATGAAGGGAGCATGTGCACGAGGAGCCAAATATAGTCTGGGGTCTCAGGGAGACTTCTCTGAGGAAGTCATGTCTAAGTGGCTCTGAAAGACCCTGGGACATGGGAGGAGTGGAAAGAGCATTCCCTGAAGAGGGCGCCATTTTCGTGCTGAAAGTCTGGGTTGGGGAGAAGTGTGTGTGTGGGGTCAGGGGAGGGGGAGAGTGGCAGGAGGTGACGCTTGTCAGGTAGGCAGGAGGCAAATCATAAAAAGCCGTAGAGGATAAGTTTAAGATTTTAGTCTTTATCTTAAAAAAAAAAAAAAAAAAGCCCCTGTAGAGTTCCAGGTAAGGGGCAACATCACCAGGATTTCATTGTACAGACATTGCTTGGACTCTGGTATGGAAAACAGGTGGGCGAGGGGGGCGATGCAGGTGTCAGGAGACCTGTCAGCTCGGGAGGGAGAGGGGATAAGGAGGCAGCACAGAGACAGACCGTGGGCTGATTTGGAGATGTGGGAGGGAGAAACAGCGAGCTGGTGATTGAATGAAGGAGGGAGGAAGATGTCGAGAACCCCTCTCTTTCCTGGCGGGGGCAGTGGATGGATGATGGGGCCACAGGAGGAGGGGCAGGTCCAGGGAGTGCAGTTTGGGGACACGTTGAGGCTCAGCTCAGTGCCTCTGAACCATCCAATGAAGATGTCAAGGAACAGTTGTATTTTGGGATCTGAGTCTATAACCGGACAATCAAGGGGTACGCCCTGCCTGTCACTACTTGAGCCAATTAAGCAGAGAGAGAGTGGAATCATGTATGAGTGTTTATTCCAATACTGCTGGCAATATGAGAGCAGCAGGTCACCCACAAAAATCTCCTCTGTCTCCCCTCCCCCATCC